AGGGGGAGAACCCGAGAAGGAAAACCAGTAGCATCAGCAGCAGCCGCCGCCGCCACCACCACAGCAGTAGCAGTAGCGGCAGTAGCAGCATTTAGTAATAGCTTTAACAGTGATAGCGGCAGTAGCAGCCGCCCTCCTTCTCTCGAGCTCTTGCGGACCGCAGCAGCCACCGCACAGAGCGGGCTCCTGGTTCTGGGCGCAGCGCTAGCAGCCCGCTAGCGAGGTAGCCCCGGCCGGAGCAAGCGGTGGTGCAGGCGAAGCGCGGACCTTGGGAGCAGCCAGGCAGCAGCTGAGGCTCTGAGTTTCAGAGCCAGAGCCCGACAGCTCTGACTCCATCTAGCACCGCGGCGGCGGTGAAACCTGAGGGAACCAGCGAGCGACGGAGAGAGGCGCGTCCACCTGGCGGGCCCGGCGCATGGAGCTGAGGCAGAGGAGGCGGCGACGGCGGCAGCAGTAGCAGTAGCAGCGGCGGCAGCTCGAACAGCTGCGGCGACGGTGGCAGCCCAGCCTTGACTGTGGCCGCGCCAGCTCCAGCGCCTGCTGCCTGAGCCCGCCAGCGACGTGCGCCTCGGGAGTCGGCCTGTGAGGTGAGTATGAGCGCTGCCAACCAGCCCCCTGGCCTTCTCGCCGGCTCCCCAGCCGGCTCTGGGTGGTGGCGGCAGGGGTGGAACGAATTGGGGGAAGCCGAGCGAGAAGAAGAGGAAGGGAAAACGGAAGGGAGGACGTCTGTGTGCGAATGGCGTGCATGTGTGTATCTGTCTACAAGGCAGAGAGGCCGCGAGGGCCAGAGATCCCGGCTCGCCCTGACAGGCACTGCAATCTAGGAAAGGCCTCTGTGCTTGCACCGGGGGGAGGGGAAGCAAGCGGGCCGGAGCCGCCGCGCTCACACGCACACAGCAGGGCAGCAGGAACCAGCAGAGTATTGCCTCCCTTCGGGTTGGTGCCTGGGAGACACTGGTCAGGGGATGGGGCACGGGATGGGGCACCGACATGGCAGGCTTCGGCGCGAGCGGGAAAACCCACGCGGCGGCCGCGGCTGGCGCCCGGGCCAAAGCCGCAAAGGTGCGAAGCCGCGTCGCAGGCGCCTCCCCCGCCCGCGGCTCCCCTGCGCTCCGGGCGGCTGTGGCTATCACAGAGTGCCCCAGGGCATGCACCACCCATCTAGGGCCACAGGCGGGTACACGTCGGAGGCCGGACTGAGCCTCGCCCAGCTTGTCACCTCTGCGGAAATTGGCCCGCGGCCCCTTCCCGCTCTCGGAAGCGGTCGAATTGACGCCTTCCTGCATGGCTTCTGGAGCTTCTCCCTGCCGCGCCCAGAGGCACACGTCCCCAGATCTCATACACCCTGTGGGGCGGGGAGACCGAAGAGCGGGGCCCCACTCTGGGAAAGTGTGGAAACCGCGCCGCTGAGTTGGCGCCGTTCAGCTGAGGAATCCAGTGGTTTCAGCATGACTGCTTCTGTCTGTCTGATTCGTGAGGGACCGAATCACCCGCGCAAGGTTTTCTATCTTTTTCGAAGTTAAAAAAAAAAAAATTGGCATCCCCATTTCGACACCCGCACTCTTGGTTTTGTAGAGGTTCAGGTTGCTTTTTGGAATAAGTGGGTTCTTGTATTTTGCTTCTGGGTTTTGGCTCCCAGCATATTGTTGGATTCTGTACACAGCAGTACACTTGGCTATGTGGCCTTTTTCTAACGTTCCATTTTCTAGACTATTATCTTGAAAAGACATGATTTGTGTGTAGGACTAGCAGGGATGTTTAAAAAAGCATCTAAAGCTTTTCAGCCCCCGGATTTGAAATTTTCAGTTGTTTTAGGTGGAGAGTGCTGACAGTTCCTGGAATATTTTGCTTGGTGAGAAAAGGTGCTCCGATGATCTTCTCAGAACTACTAGAGACAATCCGGGTTTGGGGGAGCGAATCTCCCTTACATATTTTACACATGGGTGACATATGAACAAACGTTTTATTTACAGCAGTGACGTTCTCAAGGCGAGAGAGAGAGAATTTACACTTATTGAAAATATATTTTTAGAAGGGAACAAAAAAGCCCTAAGTAACTGTCATTTTACATATTAACCGGGAAACCGGCTAATCAAATAAAACTGGCTGAGTGTCTGAAACTCTATCCCAGTGAAATATGTGGCTGTGAATATAATTAACCATCTGTCTAGTGAGCAATTTAAATTTGGGCTGGTACATTTTTATTACAGTGTCTAATTTCTGGAAGACTTGTACATTTTACCCAGCAGTAACAACAAAAACGTATTTGCTTACTAGGTCAAAAATTTTACTTGTGTGGTGGTGGGATTTCCCTCCCACCCCACCCTCATACCTTTCTTAGTCCCCATACTCCTTGACCTAGGAGGTCAGAATGAGCCTCTTGTTTTTGCAAATGCATATACAATAGAAGAGCCCAAACCAGCCCTGGCAGCTAGTGATTAGATTTTTATTTCTTAGAAATACTTTCCAATATTCCATCTCCCACAGAACCTAGATAGATTGCATGTATTTGAGTTAAAAAGATATAATTTCATGCACATGTGTTAAGATAGGGTAGGGTGATTCAGTGAAATTTGTAAGACTTGAAATTTGACTCCATTTAATTTTTCTAATTCTACCTAATTCTCTTCCTAGTTCTCCCCTAGCTTTTCTAACTGCCCTCCATTCTCCAAGTCGTACACTAAGATAATCACACCCTTTTGTCCTTTTAGTCAGTTTTTCACATTCAGATCTGTGATTTTAACAATATATCAAGAAACTGGAATTTTATTGAAAATTAAAAGTACAAAATATCTTAACATAAAAGGATATTTTGTATGTTTTTTAAATTTTAACTATGGTATGATTTTAACATAAAAGTTATTACTAGGGAAAAAAGGGAATAGAGTTTGCGGGGGAAAGGTTAGATTTCACAGATTCCCACCAAATAGCTATTGATAACATCATTAAAATTAAACATGGATTGATTGCTCAATAGGCTAGAGAGAGTCATTAAAAAGAAAATACTTTTAAAACAAATATTTGTCTAAATTACAGCTCTGATAAATGGGTAACAATTATGTAAGCACATGGCAGAATTTGACATATGTCAAGTCTGTTAAATAAATCAACCTGTTCAATGAATAAATCTTCAATGCATCAGTGCCTTTTAACACACACACACACACACACACACACACACACACACACAAACCTATAACACCCTGTTGCCCAAGTCAAACAACTGAAAAACACTGCTGCTTTCTGTTTTACTCAGTCTCTCTTCCCTCTTTTTCTTTTTTACACAATCTTCTGACTACCTGTAAGCTACTCAGAGAGCAGAGAGAATTAAAGGTGTGGTGGTGTCACCTGTATTTAGAAGTGAGGGGAAGAAAGATGAGAAAAGCAGTTAAGTGCTGGATTTAAAACACTCAAAGATGTACCCATGAATCCCTGACACAATCACTGTGGAGGTCCTGGTCTTACTGAAGTATTTGCTTAGGGGAGGGACTGGCTTAACCAAAGGAGCATTTGATTGCAGTTTCTCTGTTCCTAAGTCCAGTTCTAGCTAATTTTTTCATCTGTAAATCCCTTAGTAAGGGGGAGAAGAGAAGACTCCAGTTGGCCTTTGACTCTGTTATATTACATTTAAACTTATTTATCTGGTAGCACAAACATGATTTAAGTGTTCCTGCTCACAGTAAACAAAAGGAGAGAAAGAACAAAGTGGGTGGTGGGTGATAGGGAAGGGGAATGACTCACTGAGGAGTAGGTCATTTTGGCTTCCTTGTTTTTCCCATCATAGAAATTTCAGATTTGGATATTTTAATTTTTATTTTATATTTTCCTTTTACTTCATCTGAAAAATTGCCTACCAGCTCCCTAATTGATACTTTCTCAGCCAGAGCACCTTTTAAAATCCAAGGTCATAGGGTTTGGCACAAAGAACCTGTTGGGTTTTCCAGAACTGATTGAAAACAAAACAAAGAGCATTGGATAAGACTGGTAAACTTGGGGCTACCTTTAACTCCACGCTTTTTCTGTTAAGAAAATTTCTTGTTAGGCAGAGATGAACATTCCAATATTCTCAAGTAATACTGGCCTTTTGCAGCAGTAAGCACATCACAACCTGGGGAAATATGGTCTGGGTGTGGTCAGCGTGAGTGTGAAGGGTTGGGGAAACTGCTTTTAGTGATGGTACAACCTTTTCTATGCTGGCCCAGGTAGGGGTGAGGACCTTCTTTGTCTCTCTTCCCTCCAATCTGTCATTACCCGCATGATTCATAGGATTCTGCTAAGGAATGTGGTCTTTGGGGCCCCTTTCTTTAGATAAGTGCTATAATCTGGTGTTTTTCCCTGCCATGTTTGCTAGTAGAAAAGAAACTGATATCTTAAAACCAACTACTATGCACACAATTATTTTTTCCAAAGAGAACTTGAATAGATCATCTTATCCAACCCTAGTGAGACGATTTTGAGATAAACAATTACCTACTGTTTTCTCAAGCGCCCCCAGACCCCATTTAATAATTCTAGCTTCTCTCCCTCAGTAGCCCTTTTCAAGTGTTGTGCAATTATCCTAGCCAAAAAGCTGTTCCTGATGTTTTCCCTGAGAAGATTTGGAGGCTTGAGACCAAAGTTATACCTTGAGACTGAATGCTAGAGTGGTGCTGAAAAATCCTACATCAAGAACAAGCGTAGAAATTCATCTCATCTTGGGGAAATTAAAGCATTTCCTCTATGGGGGAACTCTAAGTAAGATGACTAAATGTTATGGTTTATACCTGTTGTTCTGGCATACTTATGTCACTCTCAAAATGTCCCAGTTTTTTGGCAAAAAAAAAAAAAAACAACTGTGATTGTCTTAACTCTAAGCCACCTTTGAAAGAAACTGTTTCCTGATTTGGGCAGATGGTTATATTTGCAAAACTTGGTGGGAAAATGAGCTTTGGAGATCGATAGTACATTAACCTGATTCAGCCTATCCTTCTCCTAACTAATAAGTCGTTCTGGAGGAGAAAATCTCAGAAATGATTCAGGTTTTATGCTCTACAGAATTGGATTGTTGAATCCAAAGACATCCCTCTAAAATACATGTGTGTTTGCACATATATATGCATAAAAGAGTCCTATCTGCACTCTAGCTGTTCTTACTGTTATGAAAGACTGGTAAGAGGGAGTAAGCTTAAAGTTATCAGGAAAAACTTAAGTTTAGAAAGAAAGTCCTGAGCACCATAGTTGTGAGAAAAAAACTAAGTTCAGTATAGTATTAATGGAAATGTGAATTCTTTTCAAAATATGTTTGAAAAGTGCATGGAGAGCTCTCTGTTTGCATAGGGTCTTGCCTTCACGATGTATATAGAAATATATATATATATATATATATATATATATATATATATA